TGCCCTGTTCTGATTAGTCGGCAGTCAGTCGAGCGCCGATTGGCTAATATTGGCTTCGTAACCTTGCATCGATTTAACGATTGCCAATCAGAGAGTTCGATCATCCATTGTGTCCTGTCAATCTGTCTGCTTCACCGCCATTAGCCCTGCAATTTATATACCATCGAAGAAGTCGGTCGGCCTCAGAATCGTCTTTTCTCTCTGCTCCAACTTGTCTTGGTGAGTTTTTTCGTTATTTCCTTTTCATCGCATTCCCCCTTACCCTGTCCCCTGTCCCCTGTCCCCTGTCCCCTGTCCCCTGTCCCCTGTACCCTGTACCCTGTCTCGTATGGAGAGTTTACGAGATGCAACCCGAGTGGTTCACGCCGCAGACAATGGGCTTGTGTGTCCGGATTTGGCCACAATGTCCCAATGAATCTGTGCTCACTTCTCCCGACAACAAAGCGCTTCAACACGCCTGCATCGGGAACCGAGTAGTCCCAGTTTCTATCGCATCTGTCGGTTCGACATGCTTCTCGCGACCTCCTCGGGCCCACAGAGCGGCGTTGTTGAGTCTGCCTGCTGCTGCGTCGTCTGCCCGACTGGCCATGCCAACCTCCAGAGTCGGACCGTTGACTCGCGGACCTTCAACCGGCGGCTACGCGCCAGTCAATGCTCCCACGCTGGACGTTGTCATGGCGACTCGTGTAGAGGAGGCAAAACTGACCAAGTTGCCAAAGCGGAAACGCTACGAGCCATTTTAGCGTCTATTCTGTGTGGGTGTGTGCGCGCGATGGTACAGAAGAAGTACCGAGTTGACATGACCCCATTTTGGCAGCTCGGTCGTGGCCACAGGTCGACTGTCGCGAGGGTACCAAATCGACAGTCCTATGCCGCACGTTACCGTCTCCACTCGAGGGCGGATGGCTCCGTCGACTCGATCCTGTTGCCAAGACCGAGAGGAAAAGTGGCCTGTTCGAAATGTCACTTTTGACTTGGCATTTGTAAAAGCATGTCCGTCGCGAAGGCTCGTTTGGTCGTCCTCCGTTTAGAGGGATTCCCACTTTAGTACACAAAACCATCAGCGCTAGACCGTGTCCGGGGCCGGCGGCACACGAGAAGCCGTCTCCAACAGTCGCCACGGCTACTCCACGCCGACACTTTGTCGACTCGGTTGAATGGTCTTCTTTTCCGAGAGATCTGGGTCGCTGCTGTGCTGCGATTTGTTCTCTTCTCGACAAGCGAACAAGCACCCTCTCCACCCTAACCTGGTCGGGCGACATTGTCTGTTCTCGTGGCTCTTCAACCTCACACTCCACGTGTCGTGTGAACCCCATTTTGCTTAGTAGCCAAGGTCCTCCCAGCTTGTTTGTGTAGGCAGGCCTACTCGTCCCGAACTGGTCCTCTGAACTGGATCCATCCGTCAGCTTCATTAGTTTTAATCTGTCCATTTTCAGCTTCTGCCTCATCGAATATGCCTAAACAACTGCCGATTGGCCCGAATGGTGAGATCTACCGCCCGACTCTGTTGCCCAAGCCGAACTTCGATGCACAGGCGGATGCGGAAAAATTGAGAAAAGCCATGAAAGGAATCGGTAAGCGAAGTTTGTTTTACCCAAAAGTGTAGCAAGTACACGCCGTTTTTGGTGAGTTTTTCTCACATAAAAAATGCCTAGGCCCCACAACGCCATTGCTTTCCATCCGAGATGATAATGATGATGTCGATTGGAGGTCTGTTTGGATGCATCTTTTATGTGCTCTCTTGTTTGATGTCTGCTGTACAATTCTTTCGACGTTGGAAATCGTCCTCATCCGGAAGTCGAGGCCTCCCTCGGGTTCCAACATGACCTGACCAAGATGTTGGGACCTCCGTCTTGTTCGCAGCCTCCTTACGGTGCCTGGAAGTGGTGTGACCTCGCTCTCGCAAGTTGGTCGTGTCGTCAAGGCGACTTAGTTGGACGCACCTTGTTCGCAGTGCCAGACGGTTCGCCGGCATCGCCTGTCAGTCTTGCCATTCTGAGCTGCAGGCTGCAACTCGTCAAAGAGACAAGTGAAATCAGTCCTCGGTGTGCAGAATGGTACGACTAGCGGATGATGCCGGGGCACCGTCTGAGAATGTACCGATTCAATGGCGCGAAGCTAGGAATTACGCCAACTATTAGAGGAGAGGACTTCGGACAAGATGCTTCCAACTAAGTCGCCATGGCAGCACGACCAATTCGCGAAAGCGAGGTGAGACGATTTCTGGCCTCTTCAATTTGACAGGCTGGCGGATTTCGGTCTCGAGCTCCACAACTGTCTGCCTCGTCGAGGTCTCATTCACACTGTCCGACAGTCACAAGTGCAAGTGAGTGTCCCGTGATGCCGATTTGTGGATCCCTTCCACTAAACGAAAGGTATGCCAGAAAAGTGCCAGGGTCTTATGCGTTTCTGTAACTCATCAAGTCAGTCCACTCCTGACGACCGAGGTTATTATGATCTCTGCCAACGTCGGAATAATGACTAAACACACACCCGGATGGCATCATTGAGCAGCTCTGCCAGCCACATTTTGATAGAATTAATGACTTGGGGCCAAGCATGGCAAATTATTGTTTTTACCGTTATCTGAACTCCCACCTAATTTGGCAATTGTTTTTTTACGTCAACTCAGGAACCGATGAAGACGCGATCGTTGACGTTTTGGGCAGTATCACATCCGACCAAAGACAGGATTTGAAGATCGTGTTCAAGTCTCTTTATGGAAAGGTTAGTCATTTCATAACACATTCTCGCTGCAGAATTATCAACTCTTATACGCAAAAAAATTACGTCTTGAGCAGTCTTTTGGTCTGCATTTGATGAGCTGATTTCATTTTCGAGCAAAGAGTGTGTCGAAGAGATTCGAAGGTTGATCAAATCAGCGGACGACGACAAATTCCTCATGGCTGGCTACAGTTGAACATTCCGGTTGACGCTGTCTCCGAGGCAATCTCTTTCGATTCCACTGAAAACCCACAAAGTTCTATTGCACAAATAGCATAGCGTGAAGGAATCATTCTTTCAAACATAATCAAGCTAACGAATCAGGAAAATCCATAGGCCTATCCCTAGATGCTCTATATAGACGCTAAATGTGTGCAAGGAGATTTGGTTTATTTAATGCATATGTCGATCTAGCAGCATACGTGTGTCTGTTTATTTGTGTTTTTATGTCTTCAGGGTATACTAGTCCTTCATCGGCCTAAACGAAAAAGGGTGAACACGGCCCTCTATCAGATCCACTGGTAGTCTTGAAAACCCTACTTAAAAAACGAAAAAAATGTAGCATGTAGCTATAAATCTATAAGTCTACTTGGCTCTTTAGCTTGGATATGGTTGAAAGAAT